TAAATTCTAGTTTATGATAGTTAATTCCAGTTTATGATTATCACACTAGCCAATATTAAAAATTCGGGACAGGCTAAAGAGACAGATTGTTTGGTTATTCATCTCGCTGTGCTAATAAGAACCATTTTAAAACTACTGTATTAATATTGTTATTTTTTATTATAATTATAATTATTATTATTATTACTACTATTCTTACTATTGTATTGTCACTATAGCTGTTCCAATCGATGTCCCGTTGACAGCGCATCCGAAAATTGTCTGTTGTATAAATATATTTATACAAATGTGTACCACACTTCTACTAATTATAAAGTGATAAAATATGTAACCAATGCAACCCCATAATTAAAAAAATTGAGTATTCATTTTTCGTTAACCTTTGAGCTACCTAGATATAAGTGGTAAGTGATTGAAAAAAATAAACATTCAGGTACCTCTCTAAGTCTCAAGGAATCTATTGATATAAATTACTAATGTAAACAGTCTAGAAGTTTTTGAGACTATTATTAAGTTTGCATAAACCAACCTAGATTAAAAATATATTGATCAAATATTAAAATGATTATATCAAATCAATTATGTTATATAATATAATCTTTGAGAACCATTTATATAGAAAAAAACTTATTTCTACTAATTTGCAACTAGTAGGTACTAGTATATTATAAATTATAATAATGGCACCAATTGCAACTATTTATACCTTTACAAGAATTCTATAAAATAAATGTTACCTTTTTCCAAATTTTTCTTGAAACTTTTCTGATTTTTCTTTCGGTGAAAATCTCATTCGGACAATTACGAACATTTTAGAAAAAAAAAGTAGGTAAATTCGTCAATATGTTCTCAAGTGATGTAGGAACAAACAGCCATTACATTTTTTCTATAGATATAGATTATATTAATAATAATATCAATAATTATGTTGCGAATATTATCTCCTTTTTAATCAAATCAACAATCGTAACTTTGTTCCAGTAACTACAGATGAATGGATGGGCACACATGTATATTTAGAAACCTAATAACCAAAGAACTTTCATAAAATGAATACCTCTTCAAAATGGTGTTTCCTAGAACTTATTGTAATTAGTTACACTGCAGGGAAACAGGACTTGTAGTCACTTATAAATAGTGACAATTTTATTCAGCGTTTAAATCTTTTAAAATTAGAATGTTAGTACTTAATATTCAAAGTACTATTGCGTTAATGCTTAGCAGGAAATGCATATTGCAGTCTATTTACATAGTTGTTAAAAAACAATTATTTAGTATCCATTTGGAATTTGTAACGAGTCGACGTTTTACTGAAATAATATATAAAAAACAAACTATATATTTGGTAGTGCCTACAACTGCCTATGCTATATTGCAGTGTGTGTTTGCAATGGGATCGAAAACGTTACTAAGCTCAGTTACTTGATTAAAAAAAAAAAGGAATGAATTATGGTAATCGTTTTACACCCAATGGTCAAAAAAATAGGTGCGATTAAAAAGGTACCATTTAGTTACAATATCGTTATTATTATTATGTTTTTCGAGTTTAAAAGCTTTTCGAGTTCAACGAGAAATATCGCATGGCGATAAAATGAGATTAGCATTAAACCGTACATCGGGAGAAATTGCGTTACTTAAAGTATCGACAGGAAATTCTCAATGGAACACATGTTTCGTCTGACATAAAGCACCGTGTGAATCTCTTCAGGTACCTTAATCCAATAACACTCCAGTGTATTGTATCCATATCGTGTTATTTTGCATCATAGAAAACGTACAATGTTCTTGCAGTATTTCTGTACAATCAACAAAAATACAGTTGTGCCTATCCAAACAAAGAACGAATCAAAAAAATATGTATACATTTTGTTTTATATATTTGACTTATGTTATGTCACACTCGTAGTAAAACACGGTCGCAAATAATTCCGGTTACATATTCCATGAAATATATTTATCGCAATAATATTTATTATTTATGAATAAATTACGCGCAGTAAATTATTATGCTGTGTATATTTTATCATTTTTCTTTTCGTTTATTTAATGTACGCATTAACATAAAATCGGAATAAACATATTTTAAACTAGAACAATATAAATAAAAAGATTATTTACCATATTATAGACTGTGTGGCGTGGTGGATTAAATGGTTTAAAATCATATACTATACATCATAATGTTGATATTTTTGTACAACAATAGTCACAGTAATATTATGTTAAGACAGTATAAACTACTTACCCCATAAATAATCGAAAAAAAAATCCAGATTCAAATAATAATTTTCGGCAATCATTATTATTTATTTTATTAACTAATATGTATATCAAACAAATAGTGAGAAAATATCAGAATGTATTTATCCTAGCACAGAGCTAATTTTGTTATGAGAAGAAATAATAAAGACAAAAATAATATTTTGTAGTACACTAATGGAAATTGCTGCTACAGCCGAGGCGCAGTTATTTGTATTTGAGTTACAACGAAATAAAGAAAGCGTTCCATGATATTATCGTAAGTAATTGTTAGTTTACGGATAAATGTCGAAAAATTTGCACTTCAAAGCCTCGTAAAATTTTATTTTATTTTCCGGGAACTTTTTTTTAAGCAGAAAATGATTGAATCTTCTACATTTAATATTTTCAAATGTTAGGTATGAAAAAAAAACATTTTGAATTTCTAACTGAAAAATAATTTTTAAATTTTCGCAATTTCAATGAAGTTTGTCGAAATTCTAACTCCAGAAAAACATAAAAAATATTGAAGATTTACACCCAAGTTTTTTCTAACTTTTAATCCCCTGAAGTACAAATTAGGTCCACTTCACACCCAGAGAAGATACTGAATATCGGATCATTTTTTTTTTTTACTCTAACAGTGATGGTGAACAGAAATAATCACATATCATTGTGAAGTCAACCTTCGCTCAGAGTATAAAAAAATTTTCAAGGCATAGTTTTTTTCGTTTAACAATAATATTGCACTCGAATATTAAAATATTGTACTTTGGAGAGTAAGTACACACGCGCAAGAGCAGTGCCAATGTGAGTAAGCGTAATACAAACGCGACATCGACCCAGTGAGTTTGATATCAGTTTTGGCGAAATTACAAAAACACTTACGCGAGTATTGGTACCTATATATGCACGTCTCGTCAGCGACCGAGTCAATCGATCATATTTTTGACTATTATATACTACAATACATTATGTATAATAAGACGTTGCGCGGCGGCGTGGGACATTAAGAATTAAGACTTATTGACAGCGACTGGGAACGGTGCGTCGACAATGAGCCAAATTGGCTCGCCGCCGCTCCGAAACGACTCTTGACGACCTATTTTCGGTAGTTGCCAAAGCGATGTGCCTGAGAAACGCGCTCGGCCGACTTTTGGCGTGGTGAGCACGGTGCCCGCAGGCGCAATTATTAATGACGAGACGTAACAAGCGCCCCCCCCCCCACAAAAAAAAAAAAAAAAAAATAAAGATAAAATATAAAATTATCGACTGCAGTCTCTTCGAGACCCCCACAAAAAAAATTGTTTTAACAATTAAGTCGACAAACTTAAAATTATTGCAACAGTAGGTGTAAGCGCATTTGCGGACGACTTGAACATCATGGATTATTATAATATTATTTAGTGTTTAAACCCGCTGCAGTGCGTGATAATATTATGACGATCGGGGCGGAAACCGCTCGGAAATTAAACGGCAAAAGTCTGCGGGATAATGCCGTGGACAATCGTCCCCTCACGAAATGGGCCGAACAGATAAATTTTCCTACGCGAGCCGAACTGTTCGAGAGGGTGGGCTCCGTTTATTTTATTGCCCAAGCCACGAGGTGTATATAATATATATCGTGCACATTATATGTGTACGTATTAAAATATATAGTGACCCTGCGAAGTCCGAGAAATATCCGGTGGCTGACAATACGCACCGCTCCCCCCTCCCACCATATCCGAGTTTCACAGGTAGATATTATGACCGTCGTCGTCGTCGTCATCGTATATTAATACATTTATATAAATATGATGTGTGCATAAAAGAGTGTGACTTCAGAAAGAACTGCCAAAATATATATAATTGACTAGATACGGTCACTATATTATAACATAATATGCGTATTCATCTACCTTATATATACATTTTGATCTAAACCTTATTTAATTTCTAATATAATATTGTTATATTTTCATTGATACTTAAGATTTAGGAGAACAAAACATAATAGTTATTAATTTATCATTTAATTGGCAATTCATATTTGTCAGCCTATATTACACTCTGTAATTGTATAACTAACCCGTTAACTATAACACACACCCGCGGTGCGACTGCAATTGAATTTATGTCATACTCGCGTTCAGCGCCATATACTATGAATAATAATATGATCAATAATACTACTCGTGTGCATTATTATAACATATTAAACTAAGCCTGGACATAAAAGTGTTAAAAAGTTAAAGTTAAGTTAATTTTAACTTTTTAACTTAACTTTTTAAAATTTAATTTTCAACTTGATTGGTTTTTATTGATATTAACTTAATAAATAACGAGTTACTTCTAATCGAATCCAATATCAATCATTTATAAATAATTTAATATTAAATATAATAAAATTATTATTCATGATATATTATGTTGAATAAACATTTACTTTTTACTATTTTAAACCATATAACTAGCTGCTTATTATATACTAAAAAATAAACTTATAAGTTAACTACGAGTTTTCAAATGACTTTTAACTTAACTGAGTTAAAAAAACAAATATTAGGGTGACTATTGACTATTGAACTTTTTTAAATGTTTTCTATCGACTTAACTTAACTCAGTCGAAAATTATCATTTTTATACAACCCATGCCCAGGCTTATATCAAACATCACGCAGACAATCAATGAAATATGAATGTTTTATTAAAAAGTGCTCTGGGTGACATTTTTTTAAACTCCGTTTTCGTTTACATTTTATTTTTTTTATCTCACGCAGGTCCGGTCCCACTGCGCCTACCCGTGTCAGTGCGCCAACAGGGACCCGGTTTGCGAACCGGGAGTGCCACACACCCGCGACGGATGCGGTTGCTGCCCCGTGTGCGCCAGACAGGATGGCGACCCGTGCGATGGCATCGCCGTATGTGACCAGAGGAAAGGGCTGGTGTGCCAGTACGACGACTACTACAGCCCGGCCGGCATATGTAGAGGTAGGTCGGCGTCGTATATAATATAAGCGTTTAGTATTTAGACAAATAAAACATAGATGCTATAATATTAGTAATAGTATTGTAAATCATTATTTTTCCACCAGCACAGGCGAGTATATGGTTGACCTATCCTCTCCGCCCCTCGCCCCCCCCCCCCCCC